AAGAATACTCTTTACTAACTTTTAGTATACTCGTATAAAAATTATCAAAAGTGGATCCATGCTAATCACTTATATATGCTTCGCAGTCCACACCACTTGTGGGTATCATGTAAGTTCATGGAAACGAGGAACAACTGGTATTCGAAATCTTTTATTGGACTTTAAGCTGGCTACGTCTCAATTATAGCGAAATTTCAATCATTTGCTTTCGACTAATTTCCTTTAGGGAACAATTTATGTTAAAATAATTGAATTATAGTTGTAATGAATGCCCAACCCCAGATTCCAGAGCTACCATTTTATCCAGAAAAAAAAAATCGGTTTGGTGTGATTTGTGTAACCAACTATTTGATACTTGAAATTGAAGCTCGTGATCTCAGCGACATTTGAGTTCAATAAGACGGCGCTACTTTTTACACATCTCATCAATCAACAAGAACACATCGGTGAGCAGACCGGTCGATTGGCTACCCAGATTATAAGACATCACACACACCGTTAGACTTTTACCTGTAGGGATATGTAAAGTATAATGTCTATACGAACAATCTCGCTTGGATTGAGGCCTTCGAGCAAAATATCATGTGCATTATTCGTTAGTTATTAGTTGAAATGCTCGAAGGAGTCAGCAAAAATTGGACTCAAAGGATGAACCATCTGGGCGTAACCGACGCCAATATTGGAAAGAGATAATCTTCAAAAAGTAAATAAAGAAATGTTATTTCGAATGCTTATAAACATTCCCAATTAAATTTGAATCTTTTTTTTATTTTTCTTTAAAAAAGTAGAGAACTTTGGAGCCATATAAATTCTTGAGATATTATCGTCTCTTTACTATAGGAACTCTTAATCGAAATTGTTTCAAATAATCAATAATACTTTTACTTTATGATAAAAAAAAAACTCCAGATGAGGTTAGGATAATCATAGAACGATTTCTTGGTAAGAATAATGTATAAAACAGTCTCAGCTGCAGTTTGAATTTTTAGCTCCGATTCGTCTTCGTCGCCTACTCTCATGCAATGAGCCCAGACAATCAACCGCTATGTTACGTTTAAACAGATTTAAGAAAAAAAGTATTCTGAGGTTTAATATAATTCCAGAAATGCAGCTAGAAGGATAGTAACATAACGACAATATAGATCCGATAGCTTTGTGAAACGTGATTGCCGTGGCGAATGTCCACTAAGCATTTGATATAGTCTTAGCTGCCTCATTGCTTTTTTTTACTGTATGCCTATTATAAGAGAGCTTTATTTTCGGATATATTATACTAAATATATWTATATTAGGTAAACTTCAGGATACTCCGGCATAGAAACGATTTCAACTCATGAGACCTATGTATATATTGGGATATATTAAACTTTCAGATTTTTCGAAGTATTATTGTATTTTAAGGTACCTCTTAGTAGATACGATTCTTCTAGGCTGCTTTTTCTAGCTAGACAGCTCTGGTATCCACATTTGCTTAGTTTTTAATACTTAAGCTTATTTTACCAGTGTCAATGATATATGGATAGAAACTTTTGACTTCCAAGGGTGGTGTGGGTACAGAGCTTAGAACAGACTTGCAATTATTTAAAAAAAAAAAAATCACTTGTATTATGTTTTTGAGAATATTCAAATAAAATACGGCTGGATTTTGTGATAAAGGAAAAAATTCTAAGCTCAAAATCTAGACACTTACAGTGGAAGACACATGAGTTCGACTTTTGTAAACCAAAGTTTTATAGGAAAATTTTTATGCGTTTTTTGCTGTTATTTTTATTGGGGTACTACTAAATTTACGGCCTTGTCCCTGTACAGTGCTATGATGTACAGTTATTTACAATATAATATTTTGTTATTGTAATACTTAACTGTCCTACGGTCAATATACAGATTTTCGCTTGAATTTTATATATGTAATTTCGGTTGCTTAACCGTTAAATATATCTACACATACAAACTAATTACGTATTGATAAAAAACAGATGTCCTATACATATATATTTGTGTATACATGCATATATATATTCATATTGTTTCAGCAGTACAGCAACAACATAAATTCTCAGCACTGCCTTTATATTTTTGATTTCATATTTTTGATTTTACCTCGAAGTAAACAAATTGGTAAAAATAATTAAATCAGATTTTGGTATACAAGATATATATGCATGTATGTATTGGTAATGAAAATTCATGTGAAATATTAAACAGAGACTACATATGCACATATGTGTGTACGTATGTGTGTATATAACTAAGACTCCTTGCAACCTACAAGCTAATCCTTATGTCTAAACTCTGAAGGACATGCACAAATACGAAAATGTACATATACATTTATATAAATTGTTGTTGCTTTTGTTTTTGTTTCAAAAATCCCTGTGTCAAACAACAATAGCGTTTTTGCATACACATATAGAAATATATATGTGTGTATATATGGTCCATGTAAATTGTCAGTTGAGGATTTTTGGATGGCAACGAGTTTACTTTGCGTATGTTTTTTGTTTCTGTTATACCAGCTAACGGGATTTTCGGGTAGTTTAATATATGTATTATGTTGTAATTTGAGGGTGATTTTTGTGGTTTTCACGCGTTCCCCGCTTAAACATGTATCTCATAGTAGTCATGACAGTCCACACAACCGCTCGCCTCGCTGGCGCCAGCCGCTACTGCGGCGTCGGGATCAAAGCTAGCCGCACAAATCATGCCCGACGCAGTGGCCATCGGTGGCTGTACGACGCCGCGTGGTGTCTTCTTCCGCGTACGACTCTGCCGTACGCGGGCCTTATGCTAGGAGGGACGCTTCTGATACAAACAGTCAATGCATGTTGTGTACTCGGGTGCCGACGAGCTCAGCTGATAGGCTGACGACATGTGTTCGTGTGGACATTGCGGTTCGTGCGCATACATGAAGGCAGCTGGCGGTGCTGCTGTTGCAATGGTTTCCTGTGGCGGCGGCATTTGATAGTGCTGACCCGTATGCGGATCGTAAGCGTAGTGCGCAAATGCATTTTCAGCTGATTGCGAACGCAGTGGTCCGGCGCTGGCGCCCATCGTGTTTATTGTGTAAATACGTTCGGGTGATACGCCATAACGGTAGGAGCTGCTTGTAGTGCTTTCGCGTGACGTGGAACGCTCCAAAGATTTACTTAGACGACGCGTGCTTGTGTTGGTGCCGATATTGCGTGGCATAGGCGTTGTTGTTGCGGCTGATATATAATGATCGCTACATGTTTGGTTATCATAAATGGGATAATATTGGTAGTAGGCTTCTTGGGCGGCCAGCGCAGCGGCGCGTTGTCCCGTCTCAAAGCTGCCGTGCGCCGATTGACTGCGTTTGCGGCTGCTGCGTTCCGGCGAACGCGATTCGAAACTGCCACGTGGCGATTTGAGCGATGAACGTGGTATATCGAGATTCGGTTCGGAGCTGCGGCTGTCGAAGCTGCTGCGCGGCGAATGACGCTGACACAGACTGGTACCGGCACGATCGGGCGACAGGTGTTCGATGCTGTCGCGCGGTGATATATGCGGCGAAAGCGATTCGACACTACAGTCATGTGAGGGTGTCAGCTTCTTGAGGCAGCTGCGGTCTGGACTTTTCGATTTACTGGGGCTGGGTGGTGGTTTCAGTATGCCGCCGGCGGGACTGGCCGGTCGTTTCAGTATACCACTACCTTCAGAGCTGCGACGCGGACTGGGTGTGCGACGTCCGCTGGACAAGCGGTCGGCTGAGGAGTCGCGGCTTGAGCTAACGCTGAGGCGTTTACCCTGATCACTGACACTAGTGCGTGGTGACTTTATCTTAATTATGCGTACCGGCGAACTGCCTTGTGACTTGGAGCGGTCGGGTGAAATGTATATGCTTTGACGTGGTGATTTTGTGGTCTTTGATTTGGCGCCAGTGCTGGCAATGCTACTACTACTGCCGCTACTCGATTTTTGTGTTTTCTCTGAAGACTTTGATTTGAAAACTTTATCGACCTTCTTGTCGATGATCACATGATGTTTGGCCAATGTTCTGGCATCTTCCGATTCATCTTCGGATTTTTCCGAAGTGCCCGTCGTGGTGCCAGTACTATCGGATTCTGTAGCTGGCCGTGGTGGTGACTCTATTTCGGCCACTACAGTTTGCTGTGTATTTTCCACAACTGTTTGCGGTTCCGGCGACAAGCTCGAATCATTTTGTTGTTGATCTTGCGCGTCCATATGTAGATCCTGCGATTCGAGCGCCTGTTCCTTCAGATTGGCCATATAGGCGGCGATGTCGTATGTGGTGTCGCTGAGCTGCTCATGCTCGAGATCACTCAAATGCTTGTCGACAACATGTGTGTGCGAAGCAGCGCTAGCACCGTTACTACTACTACCGCTGCCGCTGCCACTGCTGCTGACACTGGGTTGACGACTACTTGACGATTTTTTGGAAGACTCTTTTGCTGAATGATGCACAACCGATACTTGCTGAGCGGCGGTCAGCTGACTTAGCTCATTGGCGAAAATCTCAATTACTTCGATATCTGCTTTGGGCGATTGTCGTGGTGACAAGCGTTTTGGCGTTGCCACACAATGTAAATTATGATTATTACCATTACCACTGCCAGTGCTGGCATCACTAACTCTACTTGTTAAACCACTTGTGGGGCCAGTAACGTTATTGGTTGTATATAATACTCTACCAATACTACTACTACTACTACCTAAACTTAAATTAAAAGCTGCTGCTACGGATGCAGCTTGCAACTCTGATTCCAATATGTAATCCATTTCGTCCTGCTGTTGCTGTCTCATCTGCCGTTCGTCGACATCGTCCTCTTCGTCCTCCTCCTGCTCTACCATCTGCTCGTCCATCTCCCGTACCTCTATGCCCATCTCTTCGATCATAAACATCATTTGATCGGTGGCCTCCATTGCTGCGGACAATGAGCTCACTGTCACTATGCCAGCGGCATCCATGTACTCTGCTTGAGGGGAAGACGATAGTTCGTTTGTTATTGAGTTAGTCTTACCTAAATCTTTCATAAGAACTGGCTGATAGCTCGATGGCGGATGAGATGATTGTATCAAACGCGCTTGACTACCAGTGCTGCCAACCGAGAGGGTTGATGTGGTGCTGCATGGTCAATTGTGTTCGAATATAACGTGTTGGGATAGTTGGTTTCAAACGGTTGGTGATGGTGGTGTTCGTGATGGTTGTGATGGTAGTATTGTTGTTGGTTATGATCAGGTTTTTGTGGCGGACATTTATGAAGCGCATAGTTAACGAAGCGATTATCGCAAAATTAGAAAAAATGGGAAGAAATAGAACGAAATATATCATCGATTAGCTTTCAAAAATACATATGCGTGTATGTAGTGGTTGATTTTAAGTAGGGTAGCTAAGAGTATGACGGAAATCAATGTGTCTAGTTGCAAATAAAAGTGGATTTGGTTAAAAGTAATCGGTTCATAATTTATTTTTAAGATAAACTATACTTTCTCTGCCCTTCGACAAACGATGAGCCGAATAGTGTACGAGTATAATTACAAGGTGTGTCAAAGCTATTACAGCTCACTTCTTACTGTTTCGTACTGGGTGATAAATGTGAAGAGTGGATTATTCTTCAGATAATTTACATAAATAATATATAGAGTACAGAGATGATATTTTTGTGTGTCTTCTCTATTCTTTGTGTAAATTTTGGTTTCTAGAGCTTTTTGTTTTAGTCTCTATATAAATGCATGGGGGATCAACTAGTGAAAGGCTCAGCAGGCATAGTCTACATCGATTTGTTGAACTCCTTAGAACATGACGAAAGAGAGTACTATTCTTGTATGTCTTCTTTTTATCTTCGAAGTCGAAATGAACTAGTGAGATTATCAGAACACATAGTATATATCGATTTGTCGATCTCATATATGAAAAGAGAGCTTTCGTAATGCGTACATTTTCGATTTTTGTAGGGAATTTTAGTTGCTATAGCTCTATTTTTTAGCCTGCCGACAATTAGATTCGGAACTAACTAGAGATAAGCACAGAAGTAGAACACTTGAGGAAGGGGAGCCCTATTCTTTCGTGCCTTCTCTCTTATTGTAGGGTATTTTAGTTGCTCCAGCTATTAGGCATATCTATATTCTATAACGATTTTTGGATCTCCTAAGCACATGCAAGGAGGAGAGACTTCATGGAAACTCATGGGTTGAAGGCGTCATGGAAGACATTCTGCGGAATAGCATTGAAAGCCGAGTTGCATGCTGCTTGGATCTCCTCTGTCGTCTTAAAATCCCTGCCATTAATTTTCCAGGGGGAACAAATTCGTTGCGGACGATGCTATTGTTGACAATGGGCATCGTTTTAAATTTGGATTTGCTCATTCATTAGCGACCTCTTCCCGGCCCTCCAAAAAGTCCTGGTGCCACCGACACCCATCACTTCTTGTCTTTGTCGCGAAACGCGACGCATGAAAATATTTGCCGTGACTCTCCAGGCTACTGGCCAGCCGCTCGTTCGTTAGATAGGAACGCCCTCTACCGAATTCAGTCGGTGCGCGTTCACTCCGAAGTACAGTCGGAAGAAAATCAAACCTATTACTTTCCGGGCACACCCTATAGAGACTGGTAACATCCTAAATCACGATAATTTTTGTTCTAAAACATATATAAAACATTGAGTCGCACTCTCGATGACTCGTAAAGAAAATTTAATATTATCTATCTAGGGAGGCTAAACTAGTCTCGCTTGAGACAATTTATTGATTTCATTGGTTCGTTGAAAGGGACCTCGAAAGAATCCCGACATTATCAAGTCCATTATTGTGCTCTCTCATATATACTTAGTTTTCTTTGGTTTACATTTACTTTAGACCTGAACGCCAAGGAATAGAAATTAGTAAGGCGTTTAGGGGATACGAAGTTTCTAGTTATACATAGTTGTGAGGCAATAAAGTTGAAGTTGCCAATATTTGGTTTTGACTTTCACCAAAAATCAAAATTTCATTACTTTTTACTTTAAGGCTACCCTCTAAATTTTTACACATATACGAAGTTTGATGAAATACATAAAAAAAAATTAAAATATATCACATGAAACTAATGAGTTTCAAAAGGATCTCTAATGCCAAATACTGACTTTGCTATGCTTAGAATATATATAGAACGAGGACATGATCAATCTAAAACATTAACTAAAATATTTCTGTATACCTCAATGTCAAGTGATTGGGTGTACGACCCAGCGTAGCTTTCGCTTTGATTGTGCCCTGCTGGGAGTCCTCTTCGCCTTCGGATTTAGTGCCCGGATCCATGCGTTCAATATCGCTTTGATGCATTTGCTGATGATGATGATGCATTTGTTGTTGTTGATGGTGTTGCATAAGCTTTTGATGTTGTTGCTGCTGCTGCTGTGGGTCTATGGAGGAGGATATTAGTTCTATGCAATTTGTGAAAGTGAAAATTCAAATTGGAATTCGAAACGGTAGAGAATTTTGCGGTAAAGATAGTAAACGAAGATTTTTGTTGTCAAATGGGTGAGAGAGAGATATAAAGACAACAGAAAGAAATAATAGAGAAGCAGAGAAAGCAGATTGTAAATTTTGTTTAGCGAATAAATACGATTGTCAGAGGGTGGAGAAGAATGGAGAGGAATGTACTAATTTTTTTTTTAAATTTTTTGTAATTTTTTTTNAAACACATAGAGTGTGCCTTAAGCCGCGTGAAGATTCTATCCTCACACGTACGTGTACATGTGATCATACATCTTTGTTGCGCTCATCCAGCAGTGTCATATAAAAAAGTATATCTGTCCTGCTCTAATATCCCCAATCGACGGCTGATGCAGGGTTGCATTTTAAACAGCTGATGCAGGGTTGCATTTTTTAATTCCTATTTTAAAATTTTTTTTAAATTTTTTTTATCATTATTTCTAAAAAATTGTAAGCCCTTTTGTCTTTATTGAAAAAAATTAATACACCTTTCTCCGCAAGATTATTGATTAACATATATTTAGCAGGCCTAATTGTGCCTTGTCTCGAGAGAATGAAACACTCTTAAAAAATATTGCCGGAAAATGTCTGAAATACCTGTAGCATCGCCCACAGTCTTGCTACGTCCACGGAAACCACTCGGTTGTAGTTGTTGTTGCTGATGCTGATGATGCAGCATGGGCACATCGTCGGCCTCTTGGCTGCAAGATAGATTATCATAGTCGATATTGCCGGCCGAATGACGCTGCGAACCGGACTTCTTCTTGGGTTTACCCAATGTCTGTGAGCCTTGTATGATTGTTATCTGCAAAAACCAACAAAAATTAGCATAAAATGCATTTAAAAATACAATTTTTTGCAAATATTTATTTGCTTCAATTCCAAGACCTGTTGCTTTGGTCGCTCGAGCGTTTGCGAACTGCCCGAACCGCCACCCTGTGATGAGATGCCCGAAACCGAACCGCTACTGCCGAAACCTTTCATCGGTATGGACATGTTGCGTACACTTTCGCGTATGATTTGTCGTATAGTCTTGAGGAATGCATTACGAAAATCGGCCGTGCTGTTCGAGAGTACGTAAACCTTCTCCGAGCGACGTTGTAGTTGCGAGCGTAAATGTATCAATTCCCATAGGAAGTGTGAGTCCATATCTTTGGCGGAAGAGGCGCGCACCTGTACCTCGGTGACGGGTATGAGCACTTGATAGCGTATGATTTCCACTTCGTTGGGTGCGTTTTTACTCGAAACACCCTGCAAATTGTATTTGAAAGCGCCTTAGTGTGCTTAAATGTAGTTGAAATGTGGCTGCGTTACTTACCATAAGTTTCTTCTTTTGACGCAAACGTTCTTTGCAAAGGAACACAACCGCTGATTTAAAAACGAAGCACATGGCGTGCAACTCCAGACCCTTCTTAATTTTACCAAGGAAATCGGATATATTAAGCCACTCAACGCCGCCATAATAAAGCAGATCACCTGTATCGAGGAACGAATGATCTTGATATTGGATAATAATTCTTGGATAGATTAAGTGATGTTTTTGTTGTGGTGAAAATATGAAAAATAGTTATAGCTTTTTGTATTAGCATGTAATGCTGCTAGATCTATGAATGCTTCATTGGCTATATAGTGTTGTTGCGTTATGTAACTGGCGAATCAATTGAGTTCTATAGTATGTATCTAAGACATTGGAAAGATTTAGCCATGTCTAACACAATTTATTGAGAATATTATACGTAAGATCTTCCAAAGAAAGCAAAGTTCATAAATTTAGAGCTAATTTCTTTCTGTTAGGTAACAAGAGAGAAAGAAAGACTTTTCTTTCGAAGTTGTCCTTAAATATGTTTAACCTTTAACAAAAAGCAAGAAACATGCTGTAGGGTATATCCGAAGCTGGTCTAGTAGGTTAGTATCTTACAGTGTTATCCCAAATTCTTAGAACCATACTAAAAATCTGCACTTTTGTGTCGATAGAATTTAAGTCAGCTGGACTTAGTTGATGCTTGTGTGTATTTCTGAAGGTGCAGAGTTATACTTGTATCATTAGTTTCTTAAAACTTTTGATATTTGAAACAACTAGCATACAGACAAAGTCCAGATTGGTTAGGTTACGATAGATGTTTGATCTAGAGAGATCATGAGTGAGCTGCTATATGTAGTCCTGTGCGAAGCCATAGTAAAGAATTTCGAACTAAAAAATTAGCAAAACGTTTAGTAGCCAATACAAAGTTTCACAGGTGYTTAATTTCCATTCCCGCCAGTTCAGTGGGAAGTCTAAAGTAATGCGCTCCCAAAAATACAAGTCTTCACTTCAAAACGCGGCAAAGTACAGAAGGAACTGTTGAGTTGTTTCCGCCTCATTTTCTTCCATACAGGTTTTGCAGATGGCGTCTGGTAAGATTCCCATCCCTACAGCATGGACGTCAATAGGGCAATTGCCTGCTAAGAGCCCCATAACTAGGGAGAGGCTAGCTTTACTGAGCCAAAGAGATATTCGATCATGAGAAAGATTTTCACAATAGTGAACGAAAATGACACGAAATGCTGATAATCGAACATATTAGTATATGCTGGAAAGTAACTTTATCTGAAGCCATATTGCAGGAGTAAGCTTCTAAGTTTCATTACTCAGAGTTTTAAAAAATTTCTGATATTTGAAACAACAAGCTTATAGGCGAAATTCAGAAACCTAAACTCGTTTAGAAGATTAGTTGTAGTCAGTCAGTAGCCTGGTCAAACTTCTTCTTTAAAATACTGCAAATAAAGTCTGAACTCTACTAAATTTTGTCATACAGCTCGAATTTTGCATTACCTTGCTACACCTGACCCAGGTTTAAGTAACGTAGATAACTTTCTTAGTTCAATTCATACTAATCGCTTCGCTGCGGCGAACTATACATACCAAAATTCTTTAATTGAAATACCAGCGGGAAAAAATGGGTTAACTTAGGTATGTATAACCAGTCTTGTAAAATCTTTAGTAAATCTCATTGCTCGGTTGATATTGCAATTAGATTAAATATAAATATGTATAACAATAATAAAAAGTGATCAAAATTTACCCGGACTGGTTCATGATAGTCAGGGTAAATTTAGTTCAGATGGTATTACATGAAGTCTTATCCTTGATGCTCGCAGCAGTTATTTCTGCTAGTATATAGTTAGAGTTGGCAGTGTAGGAAAGATTCTGCCTGGAAGGTAGCTAATCTATTATTGCTGTTTCACTGGTGAAGCCGTGAGTAATAAATTAAGATAACTTTCGCAATATTTCGGGATAGAACTCTGTTCGCTATAATTGACAACGCAACAAATGTAATAGTTCCACTAGAAAGTGGCATATGCTCAAAGAAATTTAGTTCAAGGCCTTTGTGCTTCACATTTATCTACTTTATTTTAATATTCGCTCATTGAAGCTACCATTTCTTAACGCAAATTTTGTTGCACTCAATTGAGTTGGCATTCACAATCCATCGAAGCATTACATGCTATTAATATAAAATATATTACAAAAAAGAGCTATGCATATGCAATTATGCACTTTTTGTGAACTCACCTGGACTCAAATCGATGGGCTGTTTGCATGACTTCTGATGTTGTCGGAATAAATGATCGAATATAGCACCATATTCCTCGTGGATTCGTTGCATTTCATTGATATGCTCGGCTACCTTCTCCATGCCCTTGAGTGCCTCTGAAAAGCAAAGGTAAAAAACAAAAACATATATTAAAATCTATATATGTATATAAATGCAACAAATCAAAGCCGATAAGCCAAGAAATGAAATCACGAGCATGTTTCGAACATAAAAAGATTTACATTATTAAGGTAATGTTATTAATTATGTTGAAAAATTCGAGTGGGCACACATATACACATATGCATATATATAGTATGTTTGTGCCACACATATGTGAATATGAAGGCCGTTACATGGCTGTGATACTCACCGCACAAGTGCAAGTGTTCATCGGCTCGAGAATCGGTTAAATTGCGCAACTGTTGCAGCAGCAGCGGGTACTTGAGGATGCGCTGTATCGGCTTGATTAAGTACGATTCCAATGTGCTGCTGTGCTGCTGCTTCGGATTGCGTGCGGCAAGGAATTCCTGTAGTGCGTGATTACCTTCATCTGCGAAAAAAAGGCGAAAAAAGGTTTATTAAATATTAATTACTATTACACATGAATGCAGGTTATGTAATTATTACGTAATTTGTATTTTTATTGAAATGCACATCCGTGTTTGCTTTGCTCCTACAGTTGAAAACGAGTAGTTGGTAGCTAAAATTTGTTGCACATTTTCCCTCGGCAAATGTTCAATACTTAACGATGGAGAAACATTTTTCCTATGATATGGAGTGTATTTGAATAAGACAATAGTTAGAAAGCTCAGGTGAGAAATATGAAATAATGAGATTTTCACGACCACTTGATGCAAGTTCAACATTCTGTGAGGATTTTGTAATTTTTCGAGATCACTTTCGACATAGAAAACTTCCGATAACGTTCAGCAGCAAGTTCGTTTTCCAAAAAACCGTAAAATTCCCCACAGTCTGAGCGGTAGGAAATGCGGAAGTGTCTCAGTGTAGTGTATAGTTAGTTATACCACTGGACTTATATATAGTCTTGCGGTATTTTCGCTGAGAGCGCGTGGTTCTAGCTTTATTCGTCGCATCGGGTCATGCTATACCTTTTTGGAAAGCTCATTTCACCCGCTAGCACGTGTTTGATTGATTGTCGTTTCTTTCTTTTAAGTCGTTCGTGAGTTATAGCGTCGCAAACATGGAGCAAAA